CCTCCGTAACTTTAAAATCTTCGCACTTTCCTTTTTCGTCCGTAACAAAAAAATCTTCCCATTTCTAAATCTTCCCATCATACCCTCAAAAATTCTGAAAATAATACACTATTACAACTACTTTTTTTGGATTTATCCTACATTCCATCACCTTATTCCACTATCTTCCTATCATACCCTCAATAATTCATATTCTTTTTCACTATTCTTAATCTACCTACTTTTCAAATGAGAATATTTTAAAGTTACGGAGGGAGTATAAAATGTTATATTAGTACTGTGTTCATATATTTTTTTTCACAAATGTAATTAATGGTGATAAGTACATAGTTTAAAATAAACAAAACAGTTATGAGGATGCAATCAAAATTAAATCAAACTTGATGTAATATTATTTATTTCACAAATGAAATGTTAGAATGTTAACCGCATTCTAACAAAGATTTGAGTATTTTAAATTATGATTATTCCAATAAATTTGTACTTATAAAAAAACATATAAAAGTGGTTTGAAAATAACTTTTATATAAAGTTTCGGGCATATGTAATATATGCCCGGAACTTTATATAAAAGTTATTTTCACACCCTATTAAAGTTTGGGGGTATTTATCTCACACTCTATTAAAGTTTGAGGTATTTAAGTTATTCGAGAGGGGATAAGTTATAGATATAACAATGATCGACTAAAATATATCAACAAGTGGAAGGTAGCAAAACCAAGGTTGATTACCTTTGATATTTTATTTCCCTCATTTTAGTATTTTATTTTCTTTCTCAATTATCAAAATTTCCAATTCCCCCTTCCGTTTACTTTTATTAATTACGCTTACACATACGCAAAAAACATCTTTCCCTGTGGATACGAACTCTACTACGCTATACTACGGTATTAGCCCTTAGTAGTGAATTTAATTTGAGGCACACTACGACAAAGTGCTCGTCACGACTCTCCTCAAATTCTCAGCATCCTCTAAGGAGAAGTTTTACAGAATCTGAGTTTTGAAGGGAAATGAAGTTTTGTCGGGATTGACTGGCTCTTCTATCGCAAGCTCTCAACGGTAAGTCTCCCAATACATCTTCATTTAGTGTTTGGACTCTTTTTTTTCGGCGGCAATGATAATGGAACTTGGAAACCGTGAATTTCTGTAGTGGGAGAGGAGTAACCAGCAATGAGCCAAGAGTAGGTGTTATAAGTTAGGAAGGTCATTTTTGGCATTTCAACGCATATTTAGTCCTTTGCGCGTCAGAAGAAAATTAAGTGGGTGTCCTATTTTTGCAATTTTGATAAGGTTTAGTCTTATTTGGATAATTTTCTCTTAATTTATTTTAGATTATTATTCGCTGCGGTCGGGTGGAACTGCAACAATGATCCTATACTATGTTTAAACTTTGTTCACTGTCCTTATTTACCATTTTCAAATAATAAATATTATGCCATTGAAGTTAATTATCTTTCGCATAATTAATTCTCAACTACATACTCCCTCCGTGAAAATTTTTCCTAGTTTGACTTGGATAAGAGTTTAAGAAAGTGGTAATAAAGTTCAAATGTGAAATGTATGGTTGTAGTCAAGTAAGAAAATGTATATGAATGGTAGCCATACAAACTTATCCAAAAGGGGAAATTATAAAAATCTTTTGGGACGTCCTAAAAAAAGTGAGAAGAATTTTTCACGGACGTAGGGATACTAAGTATGAAACACTAGTAATACTTAATTCAATTACTATACTAGTTAATTTTATTAAGTTTTATAATACGGGTGGCTTAGTATTATAAAGGGAAATTGCCCTAAATATGAGTAAACGAGGTTTCAAATTTCAAAATACGACTATTATGTTTTTCTTCCCGAAATAGGAGTTGTTATTGTCATGTATGAAAAATACTGTCATAATTGAAAAATACTGTCATGTTAAATGCATTGTACTGCAACTATTTGATAGTCACGCTTACAAGATGACAGTAAATACTCTTATATTAGTCATATTTCGGGAATAAAAATATGGTAGTCCTATTTTGGAATTCCAAACTCCATTTACTCATATTTTGGGAAATCTCCCTGTTATATAGCCCGTTGAATACAATTAATTCTCAACTACATATACGTATGTAATATTCGCATAATTTATAGTAACGTCCCACAAAAACAATATATGCAGGTTGAATCACGCTCGGATTGTGATTAATTAGCATAAAAAACGATAGATATATCGATGTTTCCATAATAAGATCGATCAGACTTGGAACTTTGGAAATAATCTAGTCCTAAACAAACTCTAACAATGATTAATTAGGGCACTGTTAATTGCCTAATATCTATCTCATCTCTCTATAAATACAGCCTATCCAAGCGTCGATCAATCCATAGCCGCACTTCGAATTCTTCACAAAATTCCATCTTTCAAACCCTAGCTATCTCTGTGTACGTAATAACATCATGGAGGAGGGCGACGTCGTCGCTCAGCCCCAAGGAGATGAGATGCAAGCCGTCACGACGACGGAATACGAGTTCCGTACCACGGAGGTGCCGTCGTGGAAGGACCAGTTGACCGTCAGGTCAATGGTCGCCAGCCTCGCCCTAAGCGTCGTCTTCAACTTCATCGTCTGCAAACTCAACCTCACCACCGGCGTCATCCCTTCCCTCAACGTCGCCGCCGGCCTGCTCGCCTTCACCATGATCAAGTCCTGGACCAAACTCCTCACCAAGGCCGGAATCCTCCACCGACCCTTCACCCGGCAAGAGAACACGGTGGTGCAGACGTGCGTGGTGGCGTCCTCCGGCATCGCCTTCAGCAGCGGCACCGCCAGTTACATGCTCGGGATGATCCCGAGAATCGCCGACCAGGCGGAGATCGGGAACACCCCGAACAACATGAAATCGCTCTCCATTGGGTGGATGACGGCGTTCCTGTTCGCCGTCAGCTTCGTCGGACTCTTCTCCATTGTCCTGTTCCGGAAGCTTATGGTTCTGAAGTTCAAACTCACATACCCTAGCGGCACCGCCACGGCGTACCTAATCAACAGCTTCCACACCCCTAAAGGCGCCGTCTTGGCCAAGAAACAGGTTTCCACCCTGTTCAAATCCTCTGCCTTCAGCTTCCTCTTCGCCGGCTTTCAGTGGTTCTTCGCCGGCGGAGACGATTGTGGGTTTGCCAGCTTTCCCACTTTCGGGCTCAAAGCATACGCCAAAAGATTCTACTTTGACTTCTCCTCCACCTATGTCGGCGTCGGAATGCTCTGTCCGTACATGGTCAACGTCTCCTTGCTCATCGGCGCCGTTATTTCGTGGGGGATTTTGTGGCCGTGGATTGAAACCAAGAAAGGGGTGTGGTACGCCGCCGACCTCCCGGCGTCCAGCCTCCACGGCATCCAAGGCTACCGCGTCTTCCTCGCTATTTCCATGATGCTCGGAGATGGGCTCTTCCACTTTGTCTATATGACCATAACCACCGTTCTGAGCCTTCTTCTCCGTAACTATAAGAATCAAGAAACAGGGGAAGAATCAGAAGAAGAAGATAAAGAAGATTATGACGAAAAGAAGAGGAAGGAATATTTCTTGAAAGATTCAATCCCGAAGTGGGTGGGGCTGGCCGGATATTTCGGGCTGGCGGTTATCTCCGTCGTCGTGGTGCCGCTAATTTTCCGGCCATTAAAATGGTACCATATTATAGTAGTCTACGCCATTGCCCCTGTTCTTGCCTTCTGCAACGCTTATGGGTGTGGATTGACGGATTGGTCCCTGGCGTCGAACTACGGGAAAGTCGCGATCTTGATTTTCAGTTCCTGGGTCGGGCTGAACAACGGCGGCGTCTTGGCCGGCCTGGCCGCCTGCGGCGTCATGATGAGCATCGTCTCCACCGCGTCGGACCTGATGCAGGATTTCAAGACGGGTTACCTCACTCTGGCTTCTCCGAGGGCGATGTTCTTCAGCCAGGTGATCGGAACCGGAATGGGCTGCGTTATTACGCCGTTGGTTTTTTGGATCTTCTACAAGGCGTACCCGCTCGGAGACCCGAACGGGTCGTACCCGGCGCCGTACGCGTTGATGTACCGCGGGATTGCTCTGCTCGGAGTGGAGGGGTTTGGGTCTCTGCCGAAGAACTGCCTCGGGCTCGCCGTCGGCTGCTTTTTCGCCGCCGTCGCCATTAACGGCTTGGTGGAGTTGCTGAAGAAGTATGAGAGGAAATACAGGCTGTACAGGTTCGTGCCGAATCCGATGTGTATGGCTATCCCGTTTTACCTTGGAGGGTACTTCGCCATTGATATGTGCATTGGGAGTTTGATTCTGTTCTTCTGGAAGAGGGCGAACGCGCAGAAAGCTAAAGACTTTGGGCCCGCCGTCGCGTCGGGGCTCGTCTGCGGGGAATCATTGTGGGGGATTCCGGCGGCTGTGCTGGCTCTGGTCAACGTCAAAGCCCCCTTGTGCATGAAGTTCGTCTCATCGTCATCTTAATTATATTATTAGTGCTTCAATTTTTTATTTTTAGTATTTTTGTTTGCTAATTAATTCTATAGATTAGCTAGCTAGCCAAGTAGCTTCAATTCGATCTTGCTAGCTTGTAATTCTTAAATTAAATGAATGGATTGTTTAATTTCAAAATTAGTATGAGTGAAGTTTTTAGTATTAGAGGGGAAATATGGTATAAGTGCATGGGATTTTAAATTTTGTGAAACCTAGCGCCTGTTAAGCACATTATTGGAAATACTAATGTGCTCGATCTCAAAAGTTTATATAAAAGAAATAAGTATGTGATGATACTAAAGAAGATAAACTAACACTAATTGATATCTCTACAACTTTTCAAAGTCCATTGATTTGAAGAGACTTGAATTGTAGGCATACTTTAATGTGTCAATACTAGCGGGGATGAGTAAGAATATCATAAATCTTATGGAACTTAACTTTCACTTCAATTTCGGGTAATATTGGACTTGCCGTCTTATTTTCGAAATCATTAATGTGTGCAATTGATCAATTCAAAGTTTGTGAATGAATTGTCGTGCAAAGTCATCATTTTATACTGAAATGGAGTGCATACAATAATGATCTTAAAGATATGATGTAAAGTTCAACATCACTTAAAATATGTGGTGCAAATTAAAGCCAAATTCTCTTAGATTTAAGTGTAAAACTTACAAAAAATGGGAGACCTTAAATGAGAGTCGAAGGAGGAAAAAACTCTAGATGGAGCGGCCGACGTTGACAGGGGGAGACGCCTCTCATGGCTTAGCAGCTTAATCGGATTGACTGAGCGACTAAGCCGTGGAGAAGCATGCCAGCTCCAGTCTTGGCTTCGTTGGAGTCGGGTGCATGGTTTGCTCCAATTTTCTCTATTTCGGTGCTTTCATTTTTTGTTCTCTTGTTGCCTTGTTTGGTGATCGAAGGTAGAGTTTCTGTTCGGCGAGTTGTTTTGCCACGTGTTTGTGCACTTCGTGTGTGGGCGTTTGTTTGGTTGTTTAATTCATTTTGATTTAGGTGGTTGTTCGACATTTCCGTGTTGCCAAGAATTTTAATTTTTTGTTTGGCTGAGGGTTTGGTCCGTTCTAATTGTGAACGTGTTTGGGGGTTTGATGGTGAATGACTTTTGAAAGGAGGCCGGTAAACACTTGAGATCGAGTCTCTCAATATTGAATTGGGACATATTATATTCCACACCATGGCTAATGCTTCATTCAATATTAAAGTATTGTCCACATATAATTATTGAATTGGGACATATTCCACACCATGGCTAATGCTTCATTCATTTCGAATGTCTGGAATCAACTGCGGGCAATGAGTTCTAATATAATCTGCTAGTCTGTAAGTAATCCTAAAGATAGAAAGCAGCCCAATTATTAGGTTATTAATAGATTTATTTATTAGCAAAAAAGTGCATGCACAAAGAAATTAAAGAGCATCAATCATACTAATTATGCCTTGATTTTTATATTTAATTATACTATCCGTTTGGACTTTGGACATGTCGAGATGATTTTGATCAAGTCTCTTTAGCTTGTAGTATTTAGATATAAAACCTATCTTCTTGAGATAATCATATCTCCTTCCTGTGAGTGGACGTTCATGAGTCCGCTATAAAAAAACCAATGAGCAGGTGTTACCTTATGGTCCATTGGTCCTTGACGAAAGTTAGCTTACTCAAAAGCTGGCTTATCAGATTTAACCGATTTTGAGTCAATTCATTATATCTAGCAACTTAGCAAGTCTAGCAATTTTAAAAACCAAATCGATCATAAAAAAAAAACAAATCAATTACAAGTCACAACAATCCAATTTTCTAAATGAGTAATTAGTTTTCGTTGTACAGATTTTGACATGGTGCATATTTCTTAGGCATAAGTCTTTACTTTGAAGTTTTTGCACAATTTGAAGTCTCTAAAAAACCGTGTCACTCTCAAAGAGGGGGTCACAAATTCGAATCTCATCCCACTTCAGGCTGTTGACCTTAACATAAAATAACTACTGTAATAGTTTAGAAAGCTTTGCCAAAGAAGCATCTAGTTGTATGTTTGACATGACAATTTTTAGGAGTTTTTTTAGAAGCACACTGAGCAACATCTAAGAAAACTCAGTAGCTTTTAGCATTAATGAGTCAAAACAACTTGTATATCAATCAGAACTAAATCAAACAGTCAATTTTTTATGAAACAATTACATTATTTTCCTTTAAAAGCTTATAAGAGTGTTTTTTCAACTAGTTGTGTCAAACATACTTGTACGTAGTGTTGTGTAAAAAAGAATTGCGATCCCCAGAATTGTAAAAAAGAATTGTAAAAAGCAAGAGTGTTAAGTATTTTTTAACAAGATCATATCATTATTAAAAAGAATTGTGATCCCCATAAAATTCCCCATGTATGCCTATTTACAAATACCTAGTATGCTACAAAGAATTTCTATTTCATTTATCAATTTAAATTCAAAGATGCACTCAAATCGCACGAGAAGTATTAGTTTGATTATTGTTTAATTTACTTGTGACATGGCTGGCTAAAAATGGAAAATGGGTTGGGGAGCTAAAAATGAGAGAGGCTTGACAGGCCAAAAGCAAGAATAATGAAAAAAGGTTGCTTACTCCTATTTGTCACCCACGGGCTCCATTATAGTGTTATAACTTTTTAAATTTAAGTCTAATTTCTGTAAAAATATATCTAAATGAAGTATTTTTTTATGATTTTTCATATGACATTAATAATGCATATATAATTTTTTTTATAATCTAAAGTTCCAATTGCTGGAACTTTTTTAAACAAAAAATATGAAATACATAATTTCAATCCATGGAGCCTCCACAAATAACCAAATATTACCTGAACCCATTTTATTTTTATTACTGTCTAAAGTGACATGTAAGCAAATATACTGAGTGTTTTAATGACGGTGTTGAAATATCAGAAAATTTTACATCATTTTCATGAAGACATATTTCATATTTAAGTTTTTTTGTGGTGTAGGGATGCAAGTTGTCTTACAGTCAAAAGGGGACTTGTACATAAAGGAAGTGCTCGTACAAGGTGATTGGAGAGGCAAAATGGGACTTGTATCTCCTGAATCCTGATCTATAATGATGATTAGATCTCTAAAATGATAATTTAATAGAGGATATGCGCATAATGAAGCCAAGGTCGGGCAAATTAAGAGTGACGGAGTAACGGCAAAACAAAGAAGTTGGACGGTGTGATTTAAAAATTTTAACGGAGCCATTAGGAAATACGTTATAATAGGAAGAGAGTACAACATGTACAACCAGGGACGGATCCAGGATTTCTATTCAAGGGGGGCGAAATTTTTTGGTTGTGTAGGTGGTGAAAAAATTTTCGTTAGTGTAGTGGGGTGAAATTTTTTTTCCCTAGTGTAGCGGGGCGAATTTTTTCCGCTACTGTAGGGCTATGAGGCTAATTTTATTCAAAAAATGGCATTAATACATACACATCCCCAACAACATTTAAATCTATTAAGTAGTACATTCTAAGTTTAAATTAGACGATGACAAAGACATCAACCAAGACATTTTTAATAACTTCTACATTGTTTAACCTCATGAATCGGTTATTATTGAATTGTAATTTTGTCCGGCCACCAAGGAGGGTGTTCGTGAGTCATGACTCATGAGAAGTTTTCTTAATATTACAATAGTAGTATGTATGATATTATTATTTTTAGAATAATATGCACCACATACACACACACACATATATGGTGCATATTATATTTTAATATTTGTATTAATGCTATAATAATTTAACGTTTATTATCTATGCAATAAATTATTTTTAGAAAGCAAGAAGTAAATGGATTATGTAATTTAATGTCAATAAACATTTATATTTTGGATTCATTTCACGTGATCTAAAAACTGTGTAATTAGTGTGTCTGATATTTAATATTGTTTGATATATATTTTACAAAATCAAGTACTTGTTATCTAATAAAGATAGTTAAACATTACAAAACTAGGAATTCTTATATAATAAGTATCCTAAATCTTAAACAACGAGTTATTCTATTGTTTATTTGTTTAAGTTATGTATTTATTTTAGATGTTCTTTCTTTTAAATCTTCAATTAAGTATTACATTATGTAACACTATATATTAATTTTGAAAATTAAAAGCTAAGGGGGGCGAATCTAATTAAATTATGAAAGTTTTATGAAAATATTACATATATGGTAGAAAATTTTGAAAGTCCAAGGGGGGCGGTCGCCCCCCCCGCGCCCCCCCCCCCCCAAATCCATCCCTGTGTACAACTAACTGTACATGGTAGTGTACCACTATTTATAGCTTTGAAATTCCACTAACACTTTTTTTATACCCAAAAACCTAACCTTCATTGGCATTTATAATATTTTAGATATACAATCCTCGAATTTGGCCCCAAATATGAATAACTGGTGACCATGATTTCTTTGTTCCCTCGAAACATCCCATTTGAAGAAATCGTACATGATACAACATCAGTCTTATAACTTGGCACTAAGGACACATGGTCTCTTCATCACCGTATGGTGCTTCTACAATCAATTTGCCTGCCAACCGTGGGGGTAGTTCCAAATTTTAACGATAGGAGGGCCAATGTGGGTATGTAAGAGTATGCTTCTATGGAAACAATTCACAACAACTCATAAATTATGTCCCTTAAGTACTATGCTTTGTATATCATCCCTGACCCATTTATCCTCATCTACGACTCTTGCTTTATGTGCTTAGCTTGGAAATATGTAAGTTCCACTACATAATTAAGAAAGGTAATATGTGTTCCTTTGTATTTCATAAAATTTTATAATTTTTTATTCTATTCCCGATATAGGCCAGAATTCTTTAGCACATGCTTGAAATTGGAATGATACTAACAAATTAAATGCATATTAGATTACAACCAATCTTCTTACATATTAATTTTAAGAATGGGTTGTGCTCCAAATTGTATTTATTCCAATCAATAGATTTTATTTCTAATTACTTAATTCAAAATTTTAATCTTCATTCTCATTTGTTTTTTATCTAACTTCTTCACAAATAACTGTTAGGATCCCTTCTCAATTGGAGAGGTTCTAGAGAATTCTAAAGCTTTCTAGAGAAATATAGAATTATTTAGAACATGTCAGAGAACTCTAGATAAGTGTTACTACCTCCGTCCCATTTTATGTGTCTTATTTTGACTTGACACGGTTATTAATGAAGTGGTTGAAAAAGTAAAAGTCGTGGTTGAGGTTTAAATATAATAAAGTGAAATGGTGTAGACCACATATTTCTTTCCAAAAAGGAAATGAGACACTTATTTTGGGACAACCTAAAAAAGAAAGTAGGACATGTAAAATGGGACGGAAGGAGTAATTCTTTACAATCTTGTGAAATAGTGTAGAACTCTCTGGAATATTTTAGAGATGTGTGCAACCTTCTGAAATCTTACGAAAAATATAGAAGACTATGGAAGGGGATACAGTGGCATGGAGACTCGATGGAGTTCTATAGAATATGAAGACATGTGTAGAGAATTTTAGAGAACTACTTTCCATCATTCATAGCGGAGGTGGAGTAATATAAATAGAGGTAGCGGCCTTCTTTACTAACACAAGTGTGAATCCACTTCTTAGAGTGAGAAAGGTAGAGAGTATAAGTCTCTTTGATAGATAAGAGAGACAGTTTGAGAAGACTCTATCTTCAAACTTGAGTGAGCCAATTTTGCAAACATGTCCTTGTGATCATACTATTTGTGTGATGCCATCACTACCTTTAATTCCTAAGTGGACTATTTAAACTTCATCAAGCAGGACAGTAGGCAATTTCCCAACAATAACAAAGAATATAAGGTGATCCATATTTTCATTTAAAAAACAAACTTTATTGTTTATTACACTCATAAACAAAACAAGTACGCATAAAATAGCTTACAAGGTCAGTCTTAAAAATGTATTGTACGTGTACATTGAGTTGATTGAATAGTAATGATTAAATTATTATGACTTCCTCACTTTTAACGAGATAAATTATTGAAAAGTTTCCTAGAGTCAGAGGCGGTCCTATATGTTCGAAGGCCTAGTTCGAAGGTCTAGGGCCGGAAAATGAAAATGGGCCTAACATTACAAAAAATTTAGAACCCTTTTCTATCTAAACTGACATGCATGATAGTAATAATATATTAATATTTCAAGACATTTATAAAAAACTGTCAAACCCTATTTTGTCTAAACCACTCATATTATAGTATTGGTGATCTTTATTTAGGAAGGAAATAATGGTATTCCTATTTGTACACTTTACCAATGTTTAAGTCGTATTAAGGAATTAACTCTATATCCCCTCATAATTTCCCCTCCAATGGTGTAATCATTCTGAATCATTTCTTCTATTAGTTCTTCTATTAGTTCTTATCAGGAAGAGGACATTCAGAATTTGACTTCTTTACACAAACCTTTCCATTAAACTTTTTTTTACTAAGTGCCGCTTTCTCTAATCATCTCCT